TTCCCAAGGTTCATAGATCTTACATTCCAGGTTCCTATGCAGTATTTTTCTTTGCAGCATCGGACTTTCCTTTCACTTCCAGGCTCGTCCACAGCTGAGCGTCCTTTCGGCTTTGGCCCAACCACTTCATTAGCTCTGGAGCTACTTGTACTTGTCCTCCGCTCTTCCTCAGTAGCATGTTGGATGCCTTTCGACCTGAGAGGCCCATCTTCCAGCATCATATCTTTTACCCTTTTGTTTCCGATCATGGGGTGTTCTTGGCAAAGATACTGGAGTGGCATTGCCAGTTCCTAGTCCAGGTGGATTGCATTTAGTCGGAACACTCCACTATGTCCTGTCCGTCTTGGGTGTCCCTGCACGGCCTAGCCCATAGCTTCTCTGAGTTACTCAAGCCCCATCGCCACGACAAGGCAGCAATCCAATTTTCTGTAACTTTCCCTGTTTCCTTTGCATTTTGTTTCTCTTCTCTTCTCTGCTATTTGTAAGGCCTGGTTGGAAAGCCACTTCGCTTTCTTGCATTTCCTTTTCTTTGGGATGGTTTTTGTTGCTGCCTCTTGTACGTTACGAGCCTCTATCCATAGTTCTTCGGGCACTCTGTCCACCAAATCTAGTTCCTTAAATGTGTTCTTCACTTCCACAATGTATTAAAAATGGTTTTAGTTCTGATTATACCTGACTAGCCCAGTGGTTTTTCCTACTCTCTTCAGTTTAAGCTAGAGTTTTGCTATAAGTAGCTGATGATCAGAGCCACAATCAGCTCCAGTCTTGTTTTTGCTGTATAGAGCTTCTCCATCTTTAGCTGCAGAGAATATAGTCAATCTGATTACGGTATTGCCCATCTGGTGATGTCCATTTGTAGAGTCCCTGTAATGAGAAGAACATTTTTCTTTAGTTTCAGTTCTAGACAGTGTTGTAAATCTTCAAAGAATTGGTCAATTTTAGCCTCTTCAGCATCTGTGGTTGGTGCATAAGGTTAGATTACTGGGATGTTGAAAGGTCTGCCTTGGATTCATATTGAAATCATTCTATCATTTTTGAGATTGTATCCCAGTACAGCTTTTCCCACTCTTTTGTTGACTCTGAGGGCTATTCAATTTCTTCTTCTTGTCCACAATAGTAGATAATTGTCTGAATTCAATTCGTCCATTCCCGTCCATTTTAGTTCACTGACACCCAGGATGTCAATGTTTATTCTTGCCATCTCCTATTTGACCACATCCAGCTTCCCAAGGTTCATAGATCTTACATTCCAGGTTCCTATGCAGTATTTTTCTTTGCAGCATCGGACTTTCCTTTCACTTCCAGGCAAGTCCATAGTTGAGCGTCCTTTCGGCTTTGGCCCAACCATTCCATTAGCTCTGGAGCTACTCGTACTTGTCCTCTGCTCTTCCTCAGTAGCATGTTGGACACCTTCCGACCTGAGGGGCTCATTTTGTTTCTCTTCATGGGGTTTTCTTGGCAAAGATATTGGAGTGGCTTGCCAGTTCCTGCTCCTGGTGGATCACATTCAGTCAGAATTCTCCACTATGATCTGTCCATTTTGGGTGTCCCTGCACGGCATAGCCCATAGCTTCTCTGAATTACTCTAGCCCCTTCGCCACAACAAGGCAGCAATCCATGATGGGGATTATAATACTAGCATGGATCAAATGGAGACAAAATAGGAAAGTACAATAGAAAGGTCTTTGCTTGCTTGCAGAAGGACAACAAAGAGGGGACAAGCCTGGCTTCCAGTGGGAGGGAGTTCCAGAGTCTTGGAGTAACCACAGAGAAGGTCCTCTCCTGTGTCCTCTATTAGACGCACCTCTAAGGTCAATGGGAAAGAGAGAAAGGCCTGCCCTGATGATCTCAAGACCTGGGAAGGTTCACAAAGGGAGGGGCAGTCCTTGAGCTAGCTTGGACCCAAACCCTTTAGGGCTTCAGAGTTTAAAACCATTACACCAGAAATAGATGGGTAGCCAGTGGAGTTCCTGTCACAGAGGGGTCGTATGATTTCTGTAACCAGCCCCAGTCAGCCGTCAGTACAGTAGTAGATAATTCTTAGAATCCTGGAAGAATCAAGTTGGACGGGGGCCTCCGAGGCCATCCTGTCCACACCCCTTGCTCACTGCAGGGATCCAAATCAAAGCTGGCCGGACAGAGGGTGGTCCAGTTTCCCCTTGAAATGGCTCCAGACTTGGAGCACTCACAACCACCTCCTAAGGCCGCAGGTTCCGTTGTTGAACTCCTTAAACCGTTAGAAACTTTTGCCCTGATCTTCAACCGAAATCCGCCTTCCTGTCGCTTGAGCCCATTGGGACATGTCCTGCCCTCAATTCCCGGGGAAAGGGTGGAAAAGGGGGCCTCAGGATCTCCTTGGGTTGCCGGACAAGCTTTCCTCCACATGGCAGAAAGGGGCGCTGCCGGAGGAAGACTCAGGGAACCAGCCAGCTCCTCACACGGGTCTTTTTTCACGACCTGGAGGGAGGAGGGCTGCCTGTTTTTCACAAATTATTTTCTCCCCTCAGGAGAGCAGCCCTGAAAATGGAGGCCCCAAATCCCCTTCCTTTGACTAAATGCCACAACTGATTCATCAGTCCCTTGTAGCTGATGTGGCTGGTCTGCCTCGGTCCAGTCCTCCTTGTGAGGCTTTCACAGAGGAGAGGAAATACATCCCCCCCCCAAAAAAAACATAGCACTTGGTAGGGACATATGGGAAAGAATTTATCTTAAATTTAACAGAGGATCATTGCATATTCTGCTGAAGCCTTTCTTTTCCCCCATGCAGAGCAAGGTATTTGAGCTCAGATTAAACCTTCATGAGCCTCCTGTGTGAGATCAGTGGGTCGAACGTGGGGAGAAGCTCCATGTTTTGATGTAAAACTCTTAAAACACAGTTCTTTACATCTGTAATATTTAATGACCCTAAACCATTTATCTTAGCTGTTTTACTGTGAAAGTGATTAATTCAGTATGCAGATAGTATGTAGAGTTGTATAGAAGCCTTTGAGAATTCCTTTGTCATGTCAGTAAGGTACAAAGTTAGAAAACTGATAGGATAGGAAACCTTTGCAACTGCGGAGAAGATGACTAAACCAGATAAAAGAGTACAGGAGCACCCCGATATCCACATGATCAAGTATCCGCTGATTCACTTACCACAAGCTTCTACTGTCTTGGAGTTCCATGACATCCTTCAGGGAATTAGAATTCAGCCCCAGAATCAAAGAGTTTAGCTTGGGAAAGGGTATCCTACTCTGAAGGAAACACCAAGTTGAGCAGAGGGTACAAAGAAGGAAGGAAGGACCCTTGGAGATGATGAAACCGGTTATAATCTCCGATGTCTTCCATTTCTATTCTGAACTAGGAATAAGATTTCTTTCTTCCTTTTGTCTCAGGTAAAGAACAGAACGGTAAGAACAGTCGGAAAACAACTAAGTTTGAAACAGGAAAAAAAGACCTTTGGAAATCAAAGAAGACCAAAAAAGAGCTCAAAATGACCCACACAGGGGAGAGACCATATAAATGTATGGAATGTGGAAAGAGTTTCATTCGGAGTGGACACTTAAATTCACACCAGAGGATCCACACCGGTGAGAAACCATATAAGTGCACAGAATGTGGCAAGAGCTTCAGTTACAGTGGATCATATATTATACATGAAAGAAGTCACACAGGGGAGAAACCCTACAAATGTATGGTGTGTGGAAAGACCTTCAGTCAGAGCGGACACTTACATAATCATCGAAGGACCCACACAGGGGAGAGACCGTATCAGTGCCTGGAATGTGGGAAGAGCTTCAGTGACAGTTCATCATATGCTAAACATAGAAGAATCCACACAGGGGAAAAACCATATACATGTCCGGAATGTGGGAAGAGCTTCAGTCAGAGTGGATCATATACTAAACATCAAAGGACCCACACAGGTGAGAAACCCTATAAATGCATGGAATGTGGAAAGTGCTTCAGTCATAGCAGTGCCCTTAGTTCACATCAAATGACCCACACAGGGGAGAAACCCTATACGTGCATGGAATGCGGGAAGAGCTTCAGTCACAGCAATGTCCTTAATTTACATCAAAGAACACACACTGGGGAGAAACCATACAGATGTGAGGAATGTGGAAAGAGCTTTAGCCGCAGTGCACATCTCCGTTCTCATAAAAAAATGCACACAGGTGAGAAACCATACACGTGTAAAGAATGTGGGTTAACTTTGAGTTGGAGTGGAGACCTATGTTCACATCAAATGACCCAGACAATGGAGAAGCCTTACACGTGCATTGACTGTGGGAAGAGGTTCAGCCAAAGCAGTAGCCTTCGTTCACATCAACGGACTCACACAAGTGAGAAACCCTATAAATGCATGGAATGTGGAAA